TTTATTAGGAAATTTTATATGGAGTATGACAAAAAAATTTCGAAATTTTATATCGGAAAAAGTCATATCTCATGTAAATTTTTGGATACAAAATTATATGGGATATGATTTTTTTGGACGTAAATTTTCGATTATAAAATTTCTCTCAATTTTTTTGCAAGTTCGATTGTACCCATCTCTGCGTCCGCCCCTGTTATGAGATGGGGATGGGAGCAATGTGTTTCTTGTGCATTGCACACGACTGTTTGATAGTCTAGTCAAATGGATGGAAATTGTTAGCTAGGGACTCGACTGCTACAAAAGTGAAAGGGATCCAACTGCTAAGAGAGGTTGAAACTTAACAAAATGCAATCCTTGATTGTAGTATTACACATTCTGAACCCTAATGTACATTAGAGGCATCAAATATTAGAAGCATATATTACTAAAATTTACTTAATGACTCAACTAGATCAACACATTAATGACTCAAATGAATTTATAGAATCATTAATCCAACATAGTTCTTCTATCCAAAGAAAAGAGTCCACCAGACAAAACGAAAAAGGTTTTACTTCTAATACAAGAGCAACATCAAGATATTAATTCACCAAAAATAATATAAACACAAACAATTGAATGTGCTTTGCCATCCAAGGAAAAAAACTCCTACCACGCCTGCAATTAACACGGAAAATCCAATGTCACATTGAAGTTTGAAGACAATTTCAAGAACTTAGAACTTACAACAGTTAAAGAGTCCTAAATTTTGAACAGGGGTAACCAAAAATTAGTTTAGCACTTGGGCTTTCGACCTTATATCAATAATTTCCCTTTCCAAAGTACAACTTTGAACAATCCATTGATGAACGGGTGAAGGAAAAAGAAAATGATTTTGATGAAATGGAAGACTAATATAAAAATTGGACTCAGATGATTCGAGCATGTTTGGCTAACCTTAAAATTTCTTGTTAGTTACTTTCAGGTTTGGATGTTACCCTTTTGTTACTTTCAAGCAAAAAAGTATTTCTTACCTTACTATTAAAATAAGTAGCTTATTATCAACTTTGACACATAATACTCCGAAATGCTTATGGAAGAAATGTCTCCTGGGAAAATCTTAAATCCTTGAATCATCAAAATCTTTTTGTAACAA